TTCCACTCTCGATAGCAATGCCATGATAATATTTAATGACGACAGATTAACCCCCTTCAGCAGCCTCCTATGACTGTGCAGCAGGTGGGATTATTCCTGTAGAGTCCCACCGGCCTTTTCCTACCACCTTTTATTGCTAGAGCCTTCGGCTTGGAAAACAGCATCTACGCTTCTGGGGTCAGAGTCGGCTCTCGGCTGCCCTGCAGTAAATTCAGAATAAGTTCAGGCGAGTGAGCGGCACGACAGCAGGTTTACACCGGGGTGCTGCAGGCAGGGTTCATTTGCTCCCGCTGCTCCTTCCCCATTTGATGAGCTCATCCTCCGCGCGTGGAGCTTCATTAATTACGACGGCACCAAACCGCCATCTGAGAGGCGGACGCCCGACTCGAGCGAGGGGCAAGCTGCACGGGAGGCTCCGCAACGGCAGAATAGCAAGGAACTCACCGCCCTGCCCAGTGCAGACTCGCTCTCCCCCTTCCCCAGCTCCAGGAGCAGCGGTGTTATGGGGAGACCGCTCCACGTCCCTTCCACTCCCCGCTTCCAGGTCCGCGAGGTTCGGCTCTCTGGCTAGCAGCCCGGGTCCTTGGACAAGCAGCTCCCTCCCTTCCTCTCGTCAGCAGGAGGGCCGGCGCAGCCCCGTGCACACAGATCACTTAGGGAAGCCCCAGAAACCGGCTCCGAGGAGGGGCTGCTGCTTCACCCTCCCCTGCTCCTGACAGCCTGGACGCGCTCCACTCTCGGTCCTTATTAAGCTATCTGAATAGATAAAGTCGCGGAGGCTCGGCTAGGTTTTTATTCCAGAAAAATGAGGGCAGGAAGTGTCATAATGAAGAAACACTGTCATCTTTACACAGTGACTTTGGATGAGGTAGACACTGATTATTGTTTTAATGGAGAGACGGTAGAAAGCCAAGGAAAGCAAGGGACCGGGCAAGGCCTCGCAGCAGCGTGGTCCTAGACGGTGGGGAAGGAAAAGACCCTTTGCCGCCTGCTTCATCTCCCTTTCTCTGCAGGTTTGTCCCTTGACATCCATTTTTAGTGACTCGTCCAGACTAATTGTGAGCGTCTGGGATGGGGCTCGTTCCGCGTCCCCGGGGAGGCTCCACCAGTCTAACAGCTCTTGCTGTCAGGCTGCTCCTCCGCACAGTCATCCGCAGCGCCCCCCTTCCCTCTTTTCACCTACTGCTCTATTGGCCCCATGGTTGTAGAGCTCAGCGCCTGCAAGAAGGCCGCGTCCTCTGGCCATTGTGCACCGCAGCCTCTTCTGCGTCTCTGGGGACCAGAGTCGGGGAGGAGCAGGAGCAGACCCGCTAAGCGCTGCTCTCTGCAGAACCGAGGCAGGGGCTGCCGTAGGCGAAGGGCTTCGGGGGAAAGCCTCTCCTCTTCATAGCTCCTGCAGAGCCACCCTCCCTCGTGTCGAAGCCCGGGGGAGAGGTGGACACGGCCTGAGTCTAGCAACAGTCTCGTCGCTCCGTGCACGAGCCCCCTTTTACTAGCGCTGGGCGTAGCGATTGCAGCGACTCGGGGAGCACGAGCGGCCCACCCAGACACGATGCTCAGCTCTTCCCTGGTACGGTGGAAAGCTGCTCTAGGAGGGCCTGGGGATGGCTACGGCCACTGGCCGCCCTTGCACCTCTCTGTCAGGGAGCTCCTGCCCTTGCTTTGTTAGAGGCCGCCTGCCTTAAACATGTTACTACCATTACCCCCACCAGTAGATTATCGCAATGCTTTGTTGGCTCCCTTTTCTATCCCCGCTGTGGCCAGGACCAGGCTGCGGGAGGCACACGGTGCATTTTAACTACAGCCTAGACTATCCGGCAGCATATAACTCTCTCCCCAGCCTGTCCCCGTTGGCCTCTGCACCATAATGGGATTGAGTTTAATGCTTCGCTTCTGAGTTTACAAGACTCCTAATGGCTTTGCACCTTCATATTTGACTGAGCTAATCACTCTGTAGAGCTCTGACCATCCCCTTCAGTCCACAGACGCAGGATTACTGCAGATGCCCAGGCATGAATTAGAAGAGCCTGGAGAACGAGCATGCAGCGACTGAGGCTTTTGTTGCAAAGAGCTCCCGAACAGCTTGTGCCCATTGCAGCGCGTGCGCTTGGGTCACAGCCTTTCCGAGCCAGGCGTGCCGGGTCTGGCCTCCTTTCACAAGTGCTGCTGACCCCTGCGGCTCCCACAGGCTCCTTTGGACGTGCAGGTGGTCAGCGCTTCTGAGAGTCAGAGTGTTGTGTTTTGGCTGGATGGTTTCGTTAGGACGCCTGTAAAACAGCGTCATGAGCAGCGCCCTGGCACACCAACTTTCTGGTGGGGCTTTTGGGCACGGACAGCCTCGTGGAGCCCGTGATCCCAGACCACGCAAGTCACACGGTTAAGCCCCAGGGAGGAATCGAAAATCTTCCCTTCTCGAGTCCCTCTTCAGCTCCCAGGACCACTGCTCGCCAGTGGGCTAACCCGAGCCCTACCCCAGCACCCCCCTTTCCTAATGCACCGGGGGAGGCAGGAGATCCATGCCTTGCATTCGTTTACCACCTTGCAAATCCCTGGGCTCAGGGCAGGGCAGCTGCACTCCCGCTAGCCAGCACACCCTGCCAGTACACTGCAACACTCCTCGTGACTAAACACGTTATGTGTGACTATGAAATCAATGCGAGAATAAATCATGCCAGCTGCCTGCCCTGGCCAAGTAGAGCCGGGAGAGAAAGGGCTAGAAAATAAGGTTTAGAGGTAAGGTGTAGAAAACCATTAAGATTTATTTTTTGTTTAACTGGGGCTCTTCCTACCTGGCTGGAGATATCATCTGCTTCAGCAGTCACTAATGCCCAGTGGGGCTGTCCCACGAGATGGACATACTTACCTTACTATGGACCCTCTCAAAAGGGGTGAGGCAGTCCTCAGGCTGCCACCGTCGTCTAGTAGCTGCCTTTGCACAGAGGTGATGGGTTAAATATCTCTGGTAAGAGTAGATGGGTCCTTCTTTGCTACGTCCTGGCCGAGTGACCAAACATTACACATCACAGGTGCCCCTTCCCACAGGGGAGCGCGACAGTCCCTTTGCAGGGAAGAGGCCAGATGCCTGCTCTGGCATTGCATTGGGGGGGTGCTGTATTGTCCACGTGGCGCTTAGCACGCTGCATCCCAGCGCTGACTGGGGACTCCGGATGCTCCTGCCGGACAGGTGTTTAACGCAGGACGATAATGCACGGACAGGGCTGCACACCAGCAACATCCCCCCATCTAAACAGGATATCTCGTCTGTTCTTTGCTTCAGAAAGCGAGCCGCCCTCCTCTTTGGTCTCGGGAATCATTGACTACAACATGCCGCTCACCTCCACGTACTTGAAGCAGATGAAGCTGCGGGTCATGAATTCACAAGAGCAGGTGAGTTGCTCTCCTGTCCCTCAACAGCTGTAGTGGTTGGGCAGAGCTGCAGGGCAAGGGGGCGGAGGGGGGCTGATGCCTGGCATCTCCGGGTAGCGATGGCCAGATTTTCAAAGGACGCTTTCCTACACGTCTAGACACGGGCAGGACAGGATCTGCGCAAGTGCGGTGCATGTCGCCGTGTGCAGGATGGGAGGGGACAGCATTTTACCTTTGAAAATCTGACTTTGGAAATGCATGTGGGACTTCTGCAGAAGGGACTCAGAGGAGAATAGGAGCGCATCCACTGCCATTATTGTTTGTGAGAGTCTGCATGTGCTTTAGGCAGATGGTCGTTTTAAGTGTAATTATTGTGAAGATGTACACGGTGGAGAGGGATGTATGGCTCTGCAATCTTGCAAACTGCCTGAGGGCTTGAGCAAGTGGGGAGTCGACCCCAGGCTTTGCTTCTCTTGCTCAGGTGTTCTTTGCTCTTGAGCTGTTTGGCCTCTTGCTGGAGGTCAGCTCCAGTTGCTTCCTTCTTGAATCAAGCTGGGAGAAGGCTCAGCTGTTTGGTGACAATATTACGCCTCTGGATTTTGATCCGGGAATGGAGGGGAAAGATTCCCACATGATTATACCCAGGCCACAGAATTTCCCAAGGTTCTGCAGCTGTAGGATTTGCTACGGAAACCTCAGCGCACCATGGAAACGGACTATAAAAAGAAAAATACACTTTACTTGCTCCCCACAAAGCTGCAACGCGGCACTTTAGAAACCCAGTGTCAGTCCAGCAAACACCGAGAGCCGAGACGGATTGCTGTACCCTATTCTAGCCCCCCTGCTCGTGCACCATGCCCTTCTACCTCCCCTGACTTATGCACAATGCCCTTCTACCCCCATTCATACATGATGCCCTTTCTACCCCCCCCACTCATACATGATGCCCTTCTACCTCCCCCGACTTATGCACAATGCCCTTCTACCCCCATTCATACATGATGCCCTTTCTACCCCCCCCACTCATACATGATGCCCTTTCTACCCGCCCCTGCTCATGATGCCCTTCCACCCCTCTGCTTATACATGATGCCCTTTCTACCCCCCCTTGCTCATACATGATGCCCTTCCACCCCTCTGCTTATACATGATGCCCTTTCTACCCCCCCTTGCTCATACATGATGCCCTTCCACCCCTCTGCTTATACATGATGCCCTTTCTACCCCCCCTTGCTCATACATGATGCCCTTCCACCCCTCTGCTTATACATGATGCCCTTTCTACCCCCCCTTGCTCATACATGATGCCCTTCCACCCCTCTGCTTATACATGATGCCCTTTCTACCCCCCCTTGCTCATACATGATGCCCTTCCACCCCTCTGCTCATACATGATGCCCTTTCTAGCCCCTGCTCGTACATGATGCCCAGCAGCAGGATCAGGTGCACACATGCTTTGGGGGTAGGAGGCATCATGAACTGTTGGTCTGAGTTGTGAAGTTGCTCCACATGGACAGTTGTGATCTGATGATGGCCTAAGCGATGCGGGTTGGAGAATGCCGTGCAGAGGGGTAAAGTAAAGGGCCAAGCCTTGCTTTTCGTGCAGGGAAGGCAGAGACAGATGAGGAACTTTTTCGTTGCTTTTAGTAAACGACCTTTCCCTGGGAGGCTGCGTGATGTCTTCATGGCTGGACATTTGCATAGTTTTTCCCTTTTGCCTGTTCTGGACGCTGAGCCGCGTTTAAAAGCTTGTCTCCAGAGCGGATCTAGATTGGGGCGTGCAACGGGGCAGCTCCCTGTCTCCCTGAGCCTAGAATCCATTTTCTCAGATATCAGGAGAAAATCAGATTGTAAAATGGATCCATTCAGGGGAGCAGATGGCTGGAGGGACTGGTAACGCAACAGTGCTGGAAACCGCTTCATAGCCATCCTTGGTCAAGAGGAACAAGCCCTCGCTGGCTGTTTGTCAGCTTATCTGTAACGAGTGGGGTGGGTCTCGGTCCAAATTGCAGCAGGCAGATGTTTGCCTCAACGAGCCGGCCACCATAATTGGCACCAGCTGGTGTTTGCTCCGGTGAGGCTGGGGACCGAGGGAGCCAGGAGGACTGAGCAGTTTTTGTGCCGTCCCTGCTCCGTGGGCAAAGAGAAGCTTTTGTTCTCTTCAGCAGAAACAAATCCGGTTTGGGGAGGAGAAAGGAGGCCAGCAGGAACAAGTTGGCTGCTGCTGGGTGAGATCAATACATTGACCTTTCCCTGCGTCACCAGCTCAGGTGCAGAAGGTGCTGAGAGACACTCGCTAAAGGGCAAGAAAATAAATGAGCATGCTGATACCAAGGAAGGCTCTTGGATGCCATCTTCCATTGCCCTAACTCCAGGGCTCAGGCTTGCCATCAGGGTACCATGGTGCCGTAAGGAAGCTATTAAAAGGATTGCTTTGGTAGACAGAAAAAGCCCTAGACTCACATTGGAGGGAGGTTAGTCTGGACAGCCTTGAGAGCATAGGCAGGTAGAAAAGAGTCTGACAAAGTTACTAGGTCATAGTTAGGAAAATCCAAGTTGCAACCCTTCCCCCCACCAAAACCCAACCAAAACCCAACAGCAGCAGCAGCACAGGTGTAACAAAGAGAGCATTGCATCGCCTCCTGGGCACTTCTACGTCTGAAGAGCCTCCCGCACCTCGCAGACAAACATTAATGCCTACATGTGTTACGATGGTGGTGTGTTACCCCTCTTCCCTTGATGGGCGAAGCGGCGCGTGGAGAAGCCGAGAGCCTGATTTCCAGAACTGCGGAGTGCCTCTGCCTCCATTCGCAGGGCACGCTGCCCTTTGCTATTGCCAGGCTGATCCTAAGTGGAAAACACTTGGATAGTCCAGCACTGGGCAGCATTACAAACCCCCAAGACTGGGAGCTGATGTCTGCAGGGGCTGTCAATGCTCGGCCGAGATCACTTATGAAGTCAGTGAGAGCCCAGGAGCTTGACTCCCAGTCCCCTTGCTAAGAAAGCTACCCCGAGTGCTTCCTTTACCAGTAGAAACACAGGTCCGCATGATTGCACCGGGGTCCCTACCAGCAAGGAGTCCTCAGCAGGCCCATTTGCAATCATGGAAAATGTACAGGAGCCTTTTTAAAGGAGACGCCAGGTCAGAGTCTGGCCTCGTTTGCACTTATGCAATCCCGCTGAAGCCAGGCCAGGCATTAGTCCAGTGTAAATAAGATGTGCTATACTTGGAATGCGCTACAGCCTACCCATCTGAATGTTTGGGGCTAAGATGACCTGGATGTTACTCTGCTTTAGCTGCGGTGCATCTGGCCAGGCTGGATCAAGAGCAGGTATTAAAGGAAGCAAAGAGGAAGTCAGGTGTCGATGCAATGCAGCATCCCCTTTCACCTGACCTCATTCCGGTGGCAGAGAGACGGAGGAGAGAGTGGGGGGCGGGGGGTGCTTGGACCTGATGAAGCAGACACTGCATCTTAGTTTTCCATAAAGCTGCATATTGTTTCATCTTTTCCGGACATGGGGTCAGGCAGACGCCGATAGAAGAGGATCATTTTGCTCAGGAGGAAGAGAATGGAAAAAGTGTCAGAGGGGTAACTTGTTAAAATGGATTCGCCTCTCTGGTTCACTCTTGCCTAGGATTGAACCAAATATTTGTATCGGATGCTTTGGTATTCATAGCCAGTCCACACCATTTTTTGGTGTCTGCAGGTTGTGATCCTGCAGCTGCCCATTTATTTCTACCTGACGCTGGGCTGGCTAATTTAAGACGTTTCTGTGGCTTAAAACGTCACATTTCATGTCTACGAGAAGTCATGGTGAGTCACGTGCACTTAGCAGAC